TACAGGAGGAGATTGTCCCTCCTTCCCCGGCAGAGCATCTGGTGGATTTGAACCGTTCGCCTCTGGGATTGTAGTTGCAGCTCCTTGCCACTAGGCCACCAGAGCTCCCCTGCAACCTTCTTGAGGTCAGCTATGAGTTGATTCCAACTTGATGGCAAGGAGTTTGATATCTGTGAGCATTCCTGGGTAATAATTATTATTATCTTATAGAGAAAACTCGGAAAAACATTGCTTTGGAAGTTTATTGAAAACAGCAACAGTATCATAGAGTAGAGCTGGGAATTATGGGTATGAATCCTGTAGATAAGCTTACGTCGAGCATTCTTACCTGAAATGTTAATGGACTTTGTGAGAGCTCCCTGAGGTGCCATAGCCTGCATTGGACCAGCACCCTGATATATTGTTTTGGAAGTTCGAGAGATGGCACCAAACCGAGATACTGTTGGTCGATCTCCAAATGGGATGAGGTCATCATCACTGGTTTCTGCTGCTCTTCTCTGAAGATCCAACCTCTGGTCTCTCATTCCTTTACTGTCCACATTCTGTAAGTGAAATGAGAAATCCATTTCATCCTTAGATCTCTAATTTCTTCCAGTTCTATATTAAAATTTAAGTAAGAGTATAATGCTCCTGTTGTTGCTGTTAATTGCCTTCGAGTTGAGCACAACTCTTAGTGACACACACTATGAACAAAAGGCCTGAAGACCCTCTACAACTATCTCTGGAGGCATGTTGTTTAGGAAATGAATGCCACTCCTGCTTCCAACTAGTAATGAAATTCTTATTTGCCTTTGGTTGCCATAAAGACAATGACTTTTTTTTCTTATTTACTTATTTGAAGACTTTATTGTGGTTTACTGAAAGTTTACAAGTCAGTTTTTCATTCAACAATGTATACACAGACTGTTTTATGATATTGCTTCTAATTCCCTCAGATGTTGTAGCTTCCTTCCATTTGTCCAATCATTCTGCTCCTTTTGCCTTCTAAATTTTGGTTCTGGGCATATGCTTTCTTTTTAGTCTGATATAGTTAAATATTTTGAGGAGCATGTCTCTCACAAGTGACTTTATGTTGCTATTGTTGTATACTGTAGAGTTGGAACCAACCCATAACTGACTCACTAGCAGGTATTCAGAGGCAGTTAACTGCATGGGAGATTGTCCATCCTTCTCCTGTGGAGTGGCTGGGGTCCTCAAACCATGTACCTTAGGGATTGCAGTGCAACTTCTTGTCACTAAGCCACCAGAGCTCCTTAGTCTGACTTTTTATGTCTGCCTATTGACTTTATACATCTGCTTATATTTGGCTATCAAGTGGTCTAGAGGACTTAATTTAGTTTTAAGTCTGAAGGGTTCAATGAATCAGATTTTTTTTAAAATACATGTATTTTAGGAGGCAGTCTTTGAGGCCGACCTGCTGTCCTCCACAGATCTGTAATAAAGTGCTTATGGATACTATAAAAAAACAAACAAACAACAACAACAACAAAACCAATACATGCATTTTAATTTTGGTCTTCATATTTGTAATTAATAAAAACCAAACCAACTCATAGTGATTATTCAGAGGCAGTAATTTGCAGAGAACGAGATTAGTAAAAATTAATAAATAGTTACTAGACACTTATTAAGCTGGGTATAAGAAAAAGGCAATATATATTAAGGAGATGATCAGACAGTGAAACTAATTACATTAATTAACTGCAATCAACATTAGAAAACAAATGTATTAAGGACTTTCTATTGTGATCCCAATTAGAGTTACTGTTACTGGTAGCTGAGTACCATCTGACTGTTTTGGTCTAAGGCTTGCTGAAGCTGTACTTCATGTGGTCTATCAGTCTTTTGAATTAGCAATTTTCTTCAGTCCTCGTTTGTTACAGAATGAGAGAGATCAACACTTTCACCTATTGATGCCAAGAGATGGCTTCTTGCAAGTATTTCAATTTCAGCAGTTACACACCAAAGTAGGACATAAATATTGTTTTTATTGACTATGTTATGTCAACTGACCTAGATGACCCCTGAGACTCTAGTCTTCAGCTCTCAAACTCATTTAAGTTTTTCTGACCGTGTACCCTGTGTGTCCTATCACATACATGGATATAGTTTATGTACAAATACGCATGTCAAAACACCCACTGTCAAATCTATATATATAATATATATATTACATATATGTTGTACTTCTACATACACCATCTATAACCTGTTTGATACACTGCCAAGCCAAAAGCACAAAGTTTGAATCCTCCAGCTGCTCCGCAGGAGAAAGATGGGCAGTCTCCTTCCATGCAAATTAGTGCCTCTGAAAACTTGCTGGAGAGTCAGCTCTCGGTCAGTCTGACCCCACAATACATAACAACAACATCCACTTACAAATGTTTATTGTTGCTATAGGACTGAGTATGTAATTCTATTTACAGTATTACTTTAACATATTGTTTCTTTACAAAGCATTTTTACAACAGTAAAGAGAGGGAAACAATCTAAGTATCCATCAACTGATGAATGGTTATGAAATTATGGCACATTCACACAATGGAGTACTATGCAACATTAAAAACAATAAGGAATTCATAAAACACTGCATAATACAGATACATCTAAACAAAGGTACACTTTGTGATATTAAGTCAGCCTTGAAAGAACAAACATTATCTGTGATCACTATTATCAAAATAGAAGGAAAAGTTTGGGAGGATATCAAGAAAATCGTCCATGAAGAATGCAAAAAGATCATCCACAACATAGTCTTCCAAGCATCCTAAAAAATCTACAACCAGGAGAGGATAAAATAGATGAATGGGACCTTCTAAGAATCAAATCCCTATGCACATCCAAAAACTTCTCCAACAGGGTAAAAAGGGAAGCCACAGACTGGGAAAAAACATTTGGTAATGACATGTCAGATAAGGGACTTATATCTAGAATTTATGAAATACTCGAGCACCACAAGATAAAGGTAAACAACCCAACTGAAAAATGGGCACAGGTATGAACAGACACTTCACCAAAGAAAACATTCAGATGGCCAACAAGCACATGGAGAAATGTTCAAAATCCCTAGCTCTAAAGGAGATGCAAATCAAAACAACTATGAAGTTATCTTCTCACCACAGAAAGAATAGCAAAATTTAACAGAGCAGCAAACAACAAATGCCGGAGAGGTTGTGGAGAAACTAGAACCCTTACTCACTGCTGGTGGGAGTGTAAATAGGTGAAACCACTATGGAAGGCTGTATGGTGCTTTCTCATAAAGTTGCAAATAGAAATACCATTTGACCCAGCAATTCCACTACTGGGAATATACTGTAAAGAAACCATAAATGTCACCCAAGCAGATTTATGCACACCCATGTTTATCGCAGCTTTGATCACAATAACGAAGAGGTAGAAACAACCTAAGTGCCCAGCAACACACGAATGGATAGAGAAGCTGTGGTATATTCACACAATGGAATAGTACGTTGCATAAAATATTCTACAAAATGGGTGATCCTGGAGGACATTAGGCTGAGTGAAATATCTTAGTCACAAAAGGACAAATACTCCATTGCTCTAAATGGGACTGACATCAGGGTTGGGGGGACACTGAGAAAGGGGGATAAATTATGTATACTGTATTGAAACGGATGAGGGAAAGAACTGTTTAAAAGGGATATGTGATTAGGCATTATTGTCATGACAGGAGTCGAGAATGAAGGATGCATAGTGGAGTGGACCTCGGGGGAGGGATAGTATAACAATGACAAAATTTTTCTTTTACTTTTCAAAAAGAAGAGTGAACTGGTGGGGGGTGGGCAGGGAGAAAAGTGCAACAATGAATGAATGGAAATCCAAAGTCTCTATAAACTTTCATTAAGATTAATAATAAAAAAATGCAAATGATCATTACAAAGGCAGAAAAGGAAGAAAAGACCAAGACGAATGTCAGATTAGACTCTGAATATTATATTAGAATGCTGAAAAGACAAAGCTAAAGGAAGAAATCAAGAAATTAAAGAGCTGAACAGATAATTTCAAAGGGGAGCTCAGGATGACAAAGCAAGGTGTTATAATGAAATGTGCAAAGAGTTGGAGTCAGAAAATCAAAAGGGCCGAACCCACTCAGCATTTCTCAAGCTGAGGGAATTGAAAAACAAATTCAAGCCATAAGCAGCAACACTTAAGGATGCTTTGGGCAAAATGTTAACTAATCCAAGAAGCATTAAAAGAAGATGAAAGGAGTATACAGAGTCACTGTACCAGAAGGAATTGGCTGACAAAGAAGAATTTCATAAAACAACATATAAGCAAGAGCTTATGGTGATGAAGGGGGAAGTACAAGCTGCTTTGAAAGACCTGGCAAACAAAAAAGGCTCCAGGAGTTGACGGCATATCAACTGACATATTTAAACAGGCAGACACTGCCCTGGATGTGCTCACCAAGTATGCCAAGATATCTGGAGGACAGCCACCTGGACAACTGACTGGAAGAGACTGATATTTGCTCCCATTCCAAAGAAGGGTGACCTGACAGAGTGCAGAAATTATTGAACAATATCATCAATATCACATGAAAGCAAGATTCTGCTAAAAATTATCCAAAAAATGACTGGAACAACTATCAACAGAGAACTGCTAGTTGTGCAGACTGGGTTTAGAAGAGGCCGTGTTACTAGAGATATTATAGCTAATGTTAGATGGATCTTGGCAGAATGCAGAAAGTACCAGAGGAATGTCTATCTGTGTTTCACTGACTATGCAAAGGCTTTTGACTATGTGGATCACAACAAACTGAGAAGAATGGGAATTCTGAGAACAATGGGAATCCCAGAACATTTGATTGTACTTATATAAAACCTATACTTGAAAAAACCCAGAAAACAAAACAAAACAAAACCCCCTATACTTGGACCAAGAGGCAGTTGTCAGAACAGAGCAATGAGAAACCATAAAGTTTAAAACTGAGAAGGGTGTCTGCCAGGGATGTATTCTGTCTCCATACCTTTGAAATCTCTACACAGAACAGATCATCTGGGATGCTGGGCTGTACGAGAAAGAATGCGGCATAAAGATTGGAGGAAGATTCATCAACAACCTGTGTTATGTAGATGACACAACCCTGCTTGCTGAAATTGAGGAGGACCTGAAGTGCTTGCTGCAGAAGGTCCAGGACTGAAGCTCAACATCAAGAACTGGATTGAAGCTCAACATCAAGAATTGGATTGAAGCTCAACATCAAGAAAACAAAGATTCTCACCACTGGGTCAATTGGCAGCATCAGTATGGATGGTGAAGAGATTGAGATTGTTAACAGTTTTAGTTTGCTTGGTTCCATAATCAACATTCTTGGTACCAGCAGCCAGGAAATCAAGAGACTATTTGCACTGAGAAAGTCAGCTGTCAGAGACCTCTCCAGAGTACTTAAGAGCAGGCTGGAGACTAAGGTAAGCCTGATCCAGGCTATAGTCTTCACAATTACATGCTATGCATCAGAGAGCTGGACAGTGACTAGGGATGATAGAAAGAGAATTGATGTCTTTGAGTTGTGGTGCTGGAGAAGAGTATTGAATATACCACGGACTACTAGGAGAACAAACAGATTTGTCGTTGAGATGGTGAAACTGGGCTGCTCCTTGGAGGCAAGGATTCTGAAGCTTTGTCTCACATACTTTTGAACATGTTGCAAGGAGGGACACTGCAGGTGAGGAAGACTGTTGATGACTGGGGTAATGGGTTATAGGTGTGTCAGAGAAAGTGAGATTGGCACAAGATAGGGTAGGGTTTAGGGATGTTGTACATCGCGTCGCTATGAGTTACAGGCAACTTGATGACATGTAAGAATAACAACACAACAACAACAATAACAACAACTTTGGCAGTGAAATGAAATCTTGATTCTGGTCAATATGGATGGTGCTGGAAACATGATGAATGAAATGGATTAATTTCAAAAGAAGAAATATATATTGCATTGATTAAGGGTAAAGTTGCATGGCATAAAGACTAGAGTGGCAAAAGCTGTGTGCCAAAAAGCTACACTTACAACAAGGGAGGAAGGAAAGGAGGAAGGAAAAAAAGCTAGTGAGGCTTCTTATGTAACAAAGTATCGTGGGATTTGGTACCTTGGTTTAGATTTAAGTCCATGTTTTCACAGACTGTCTGATTAACTGGCCTATTAAAATATTTAGAATTTCTGTTCTATATTCTGATTTGTTACGAACTGCCTGGGGTCTAGAAATCTCCAAGGAGTTATCGAAGGCACAATTGGGTTCTATTCACCTGAAGCAATAGAGGGAGAGGGAGAGTCAAGAGTAACAGGAGCATATGAAAAAGTGTGGCTGATTGCCCCAGTGAAGACCTGCCCCTTTGCCATGAGACCAGACCATGTTCATTATGAACATTGCGATCAAAGGTTCTGTAGGGGGAAAAAAATAATCTTGAACAAAAAGGGGAATAAAAAGAACTAAATTTCAAATTATGGAGTCCAGAATTCACGGAACCATGATAGGTGGATGAATTCCTGAAACAGCTGCCCTGAGATAGCAAAAATTAACATTTTTAAAGTCTTCTTAAAATCAAGCAGTAGTTTAAGCTCGACAAGAAAGGTCTACCTTGACTTTTATGCTTTTTTAAGAACTACTTTTGGGATTAAACGGATGATAGTAATTAAAAACTCTCAATTACATTAGGTAAGAACCTCAAGGAACAGAACAGTGAATTTATATTCATGGAGAAGGGACAGCTCAGAAAAGGAGGGTGTGAAGGGTTGTCTAACTGAAAGAATAAAATCAAAGTCACTAAATTGTGCAGGGAGAAACTGCTGAATTGGCATATGTTTAGCTGTATATATTCTCAACAAAACCCAAAAATTTTAAATGGTAAAATAAAATAAACCGAGTATAAAAAATTCTGGATTCTCATAGCTCACATGAAATTAAACAGTCACAATTGATTCAAATAACACTACAATTAACTAGATTAATTTTTGTTATTTTAACTTAAGAGATGTAGGGAAGAGATGTAAATGATAAGGTTTTATTTATGTAAAACCATTTTTTTCTGACTACAATTTATTATGTATTTATAAACAACACCTGGGAAGTATCAACTGACTAGAGAAAAAGCAACAAAATGCTCTGTTCTGACAAAAGAAAAAAGATTTTATCTAAATGCAAAACAAACACAAAAAGTAACAAATTGCAAAGAACAGGATGTGGTTTGAAATTCTTAAGCAAGAACTTAGACAAAACTCTTAAAGCAAAGTTCAATTATTTGTGTTTAAACTATAGCATGTGACTGTTTAGTGTATCTGCATTTTTATTACTTATGGCTTAGCTATACATACCATCATTTCCACATTTCCTGCTGCCACATCTTTGGGTTTTGCATCTTTGGTTCCAATGTAGGAACCAATGGTGTCACAAGACCAAGGAGAGTATTGGCTATAATCGTTTCCTTTGTATTTCCCAGCTATCTTCAAGTCTTCATCTAAAAACTAAATTTTTTAAAAAGAAAAATTATTAATAACAAGACAGCAGAAAACTTCCTGGGGCACCATGATGATGCTATATATTTATTTGATTTGTAGATTAATTTTGAGGAATATGCAATATATATAGAACACTGGAGGCAGAGTCCACAGAGAATTGCAAAGCTAACACAAAATGCTGCACTTCAGTGGTGGTTTGAATCCACCAGTGACTCCAAAGCAGAATGTTTGGAAGTCAGTCTTCTCCCTTGTGACTTATAGTCTTGGATACCTATAAAGGTTAGGATGTAAGTTAGAACCAGCTCAATGGCAATGAGAGAGAAATGCCACACAGAAAAGAAGGAAGCATAGTCTTTACGCTTAAAGGAGAGGGTAAAAGAAACCCCAACATAGCTATCTCAACATCTTTCAAGTTATCAGACTAAACATTTTGACGTATTTTGCCCATTTTCTTCATTAAGTAAGTGAAGTCAACATTTAAACAAATAGGTACTAAGCTACAGTTTTGCCAGACTGTCTTAAATATTTCTTCATAACATCCTAGCTAAGAAACCCATGAAAAAAGAATTAAAAAGATACTTTTTAAAGTCTATGAAGATGCCACAATTCTTTAACGAAATTTTCAATAGCAACCATTCATGGTTTGAATAAATCTTTTTCTTTTTTCAGGATGAACGCTAAAATTATCTAATACCAGAACAGCTCTTCGAAAGCATCCCTGGTGGTAGAATGCTTAAACAGTTACTTAAGAGGTTGGTGGTTGAAACACAGCCAATGGCTCCATGGGAGATAGTGGTCCTTAAAGAGTACAGTCTAGAAAACCGCTGTCATATGAGGTCACGAGGAGTTAAAAATGGACTAGATGGCACTAATCAACAAACAGGGCTAATACGTATTAATTAAAATCCTAACAGTCAAACTTGCACATTTTACAGTTTCCAGAATGATTTAATTTACTCTTTTTATGTACTCTTTAAGTCCAAAGTGGACACTTTTAAGTGATGACTAGGGCCAAACAGAAGAGTTGTCTCGAACTGGAAATGACTTGATGAAAACTAGTTTTGAATTTGATTTTTTTTATACAAGTATGGGCAGTGCTAGAACTACATCCTTCAATGTTCCTTTGACTTTATCATTTATACATTACATATATACTGACACAAGACAGACTGACATCGTTGAGTGTAGCAATGGACTCAAGTGTATCAGAGATAGTGAGAATGATACAGTATAGGTTAGGATTTAGATCTGTTGTTCCTAAGGTTGCTATGAGTCATATTCAAGTCAACGAAACCTAACAACAATAAGGGCTCTTGGGTATCTATTTGGTCCATAATGGTTCAAGTAAAAAGAGAATTTTCTCTCTGGATTTATCATCATTGGCTTTGTGCATGTTCATATCCTCTTTCCTATTCTTTGTTCTATAACTATTTAAAGAAATTTCATCTTTTATTTATCTTCTACTTATAAACTACATGTAGCCTTTTAAAGATTTGACTTACTAACATGAGTGGTTTTTTTCCTGCTAAGAAAAAAAAGTGATAAAAACGGAATATAATGACATAGAAAAAGACATCCAGTATAGATGAAATAAAACAACAAATTCTTAAGATGTATTATTAAATTAATATATTCAAAACAACAATGTATGTTAGTTTATAAATTAAAAAGTTGAAAGGATTATAATAAACTGGCATGACTTGGTGGTGTAACTAAAGCTGATGTCACCCAGTGTGGTAGTTCATGGTATCATACACTACACCCATTATAGACTCCCTTCCTGGATGACATATGATACAAAATCTTCCACAACAAAACAACTATGAGACATCATCTCACCCAAGTAAGAAGAGCAAAATTTAACAGAACAGCAAACAACAAATGCTGGCGAGGTTGTGGAGAAACTGGAACCTTTATTCACTGTTGATATGAGTGTAAAATGGTGCAAACATTATGGAAGGCTATATGGCACTTTCTCAAAAAGTTGGCTATATGGCACTTTCTCAAAAAGTTGCAAATAGAAATACCATTTGACCCAGCAATTCCACTACTGGGAATATACCCCAAAGAAATCATAACCACCACCCAAGCAGATATATGCACACCCATGTTTATCGTGGCTTTGTTCACAGCAGCAAAGAGCTGGAAACAACCCAAGTGCTCATCAACAAATGAATAAAGAAACTCTGGTATTGGAATAGTATGCAGCATTGAAAAACAAGGAACTCATGAAATATCATGTAAAATGGATGAACATGGAGGACTTTATGGTGAGTGAAATATCTCAGTCACAAAAGGATAAATATTGCATTGGGCTATTGTTGTAAAATAGGACTGACATCAGGGTTGAGGGAAGGCAGAGAAGGAGGGGATGGATGATGTATATACTGCATTGAAACAGATGAGGGAGAGAACAGTTTAAAAACAATATATAATTGGGTATTACTGTCATGACAGGAGTCCAGAATGAAGGCTGCATAGTGGAGTAGACTTGGGGGGAGGTACTGCATAACAATAAAAAAGTTTTACTTTTCAGGAGAAGAGTGAACTGGGGAGGAGGGGTGGGCAGGGAGAAAAGTGCAATAATGAATGACTGGAAACCCAAAGTCTCTGTAAACTTTCATTAAAATTAATAAAAAAAAAAGGGAAAAAAAAATATCTTACACAAGTGGAGTTATTACCATAAGCAACTTCATCAAAGTTCTTCAGATATGTGTATTTGTATGCATGAGTATATATGTAAGTTTCAATTTTAGTATATGTGCTGCCGAAGCGAGCACTATAAGTTTCAAAGATTAGACTTATTTAAAAAGAACAGATTGAAAATGGAATCACTGGAAAGGAACCCTGTAGTATATAAAAGTAAATTATAAAATAAACAAACAAACCCAAATTTAAAAAAAAAATCATTTAAAAAGTAAATTCTAGATTAACTATAGATCTAAATGTGAAAGAAAAGAATAATGTTTTTACAATAAAATATAATTGTTTCATAATCCTGGATTGACTAGGCAAGCTCATATCTAAACATGAAGATATTTGATAAATGGCTCTAAATGATGTGCTTACTTCCTCCTGATGGAAGGTAGGAGGCAATGTTGGTGAAGGTGCAAAAGGAGGTGGAGAGATGACTTTTCTTTCTTCTAGCTGGGCCATTATTTCCTTTCTTCTGCGATGCAATTCATCTAGACTAGGATGAGGCTGGGGAGGAGGTGGAAGCCGGCTATAAGGAGGCTCCTGAAAATAAAAGTAACTATTTTAGAACACATTAATTCATGAAACACTTTTTAAAAAGTAACTGATATAAGAATATCAAGGATTAACAGAAGAAAACATAAAACCCTCAAAAGCAATTATTTTAAGCTTTTTTTTTGCCTAAAATCATACACTTCTGGTAGATCTAGGAGAGTCAATAAAATCAACCAAAATGAAAGTTAAAATGGAGAGAAAAAAATGTTCTTTCAGTAACGTTTTAAAAAGCAGAACCTACACAAATAATGGAAAGACAGGAGAAAGTACTGTTTCAATTAATGGCAAAGATAAGGAATAAAAGATACAGCGAAAGAAAAGTAAGATATATAATAAAAATAAATGCAGCTTACTCTGAGGTATGAAGGTCTGATCTGAGAGGGATGAGGAGCCACTGGATAGTAACCCTCTATCTGTTGGTATCTTTCTCTGGATTCTGGAACATAAGATGGTACTGCTGCAGGTGGAATTTCAATGGGTATAGGACTTTCTCGAAAGATCTCCTCTCTTGTATAAGACTGAGCAGGGTATAGGCGACGGTTGTCATAGTGTGGCTGATACATAGGTGGGTACTGCTGTGGTTGTGTGCCATACTGGGAATTTACACCACGATCTTGGAGGTAGGGCAGATAATGATCCAAGTAAGGAGGAGCAGGTTCAGGAGCAGATGGCGGAGGCCGAACAAAGCAGGACACACAAGGTGGTGGAGTATAGTACATACCTATACAAGAAAAGGAGTAAAAACCAATGAGCCAATCTATGTATGTATGTATGTATGTATGTATCCCACACATGCATTTGTTGCTATATGCTGTCAAGTTGTTTGTGACTCATAGTGACCCTATGTCCAACAGCTCTGAACCCGGTTTTATCTGGAGTCATCCTTACTGTCTCTGACACATCTACTCCCATTACTCCAGTTACTTAGTCAATCCATCTCATCCTAGGTCTTCCTCTCTTGCGCTGTTCCTCTACCCTCCCAAGCACAATACCCCTCTCCAAGAATTAGTCTTTCCCTGCAACATGCCCGAAGTATGTCAACAGAGCTTCCGAAGCCTTACCTCCAAGGAGCAGCCAGGTTTCACCTTCTCCAGGATGAACCTGTTTGCTCTAGCAGTTCATGGTATATTCAATACTCTTCTTTAGTACCACAACTCAAGGCATCAATTCTCCTATCATTCTTAGTCACTGTCCAGCTTTCTGATGCGCGCGCGCGCGCGCGCGCACACACACACACACACACACACACAGCATTATATAAGCCACTCATTTGTTTTCTCTTAGTCATTTTAACTTTATGGGGGGGAATCAAAATTACACTTAAAATTTATTTATAAATTATAATTGTAGAGGTTCTCTGAATTTTTAAAACTTTGTTCTTATGTGTCTTAATGCAAAGCAAGCACTGGAAAAGTAGAAGCTTTTGAAACTTTCTTGAAATGGAGGTTCCACAAACCACAATCACTGTAGCAAAAACTTCACAATTTCGAGACTCCTGCCTCAAGTGTTATGATCATGACACCAGCAGTGAGAACAAGTTTCCTCTTTTCGTTTCTTCATTGTAAAAGGTTCTCTTAATAGCCAGTTCTCTCCAGTGCAGCTTTGGGACTCATTACTGGATACTTAACTTGGACCTGCTTTTCCAGTACTTCCTCTCATTTTGTAGGGGTAACTCCTTGCATTAAATCTCTTTATGCCGAATAAAACCAGAATGGAGTTTGTTATTTGCAACTGAAAAATTAATGGATAATATATATGTACATACTAATTATTTGAATGAAAGCAGCCAGTTTTGTTCCAGCAATGGATGGTCAAAAAGGAAAATTTAAATCAATTTTTGCCGTCTTTTTACATGTATTAAACAGCATCAATTTAAAACTATTCTTTTAAAAGTAGAGGAAAATCTCTTAATTTAAAAATAAGATATAGAGCGCCTTTAATTTATCTCAGTTTAAGAAACAGCCTCACTATGTTTCTCTTTTGTTTTTAATTCAACATGCTAATTTTCAAATCACTCTATTTTATGTAAAACATGAAATAAGTCATCATCTTTTGTCCATTCTTCATATTTAGAATTGTCAATCATTAAACCTGGTATTATAGATTTAATCATGCTCCCCAAAATATAGTAGACATAATGACATTTTGGAAGTGTTCTCTTTGATATGTTAATGAGCTCATAAGTTTAGTTTTAACTGAACCTGCTGCTTCTGCGATATAGAAATGGCATATAGGCACAGAAGGAAGGAAGCACAGATGGGGAAGATAGAGGCTATCCCCAAGAAATCAAGGATAGAGATGAACAAGTATTTCTACCCTAAAGCAGATAGACTAAATCTTTCACTAGAGCCAGTGCCCTAAATTCTGATTTACAGACTTCCAAACTGAGAGAAAATCCACTTTATTTCTGCTACAGTAGCAGTAAGAACCTATGATGACACTGTTGTTGTTAGGTGCCCAGAGTGACCCTATGAACAACAGATCTGAACCCTGTCCTAAATCATACCATCTTCACAATCTTTGACACACTGAAGCCCACCGCTGTAGTCACTGCATCAATCCATCTGGGTAAGGGTCTGCCTCTCTTTTGCGGTCTCTCCACCAAGCACTGATGTCCCTTTCCAATGAATAACCTCTTCTAGCAACATGCCCTAAGTATGTGAGAGAAAGCTCCATCATCTTTGCCTCCAAGGGGCACTTTGGCTGCACGTTCTCCAAGATTTAGGATGCAGCACTTCCCTATGCATATTCTGAGTGCCTTCAATTCTGAAGGGCTCATTAACACAGCCAATTAATAGACAAATGGTAGAGAATAATATTTAGTGATAATTAAAAAGGCAAGTTTTGGTGGCATAGTCCACAAAGGGTTGTGCTGCTAATATAAAGCTGTGCCTCTCCAGAGGTTCAAATACACCAGTGACTCTGAGGTAGAAAAGATGAGTAATGTTACCCTATATGATTTAAGGCCTTGGTAATCCAATAGAAGGGCAGCTATTAGTGCTGACTCGCCAGCAATGAGAGTAAGCAGATAACTAAATGGGAGGAAATTATACTACGAGTTTCATTTATATCGACTACAATATTAATTTTTGTCTGTGAAGAAAAATTTGTTTAGACAAACATGAAGCTCCTTATTTAAAAAATTTTCATGGTCTACTGGGGGAACTGTTATTTCCTAAAAGTATAAAACAGACAACTAAGGAACTTTAGTGCTGCAGTGGTTAAGCACTTGAACACAAACTAACAGTTCAACGGTTCAAACCTACCCAGTCATTCTGTCAAAGGAGAAAGACATAGTCATCTTCTAAAAATTTCAACCCAGGAAACCTTTGAGTTTGTTTTACCCAATTCTTTAGGCCACTGGGAGTTGGATGCATGGCAATAGGAATGTGTAACATACATACATGTGCTACTAGTAGATAAGGCAGTTTATTTACTGCTTTACGATTATTTCATGCTGTTTAAATGTCTAATTTTTCAAAATATTGTGAACTGCACTTATTTTAAGGAGGAATGCATTAAGAAACGCATTTACTGTGAAAACATTCTTACTGAAGAATTCTCTTGAACATAAAGGAAGGATCATTACCCTGCTGATAAGGTGTGGGTTCAAATGGTGGAGCAGCTCCTCGAGGATCCTGGTAATAAACATCTGCTTGTTGTGCTGGATATAACTGAGAGCCTCGTGGTACCATCTGAAGTGGTTTGGTGACAGGCATGGGAGGCAGGTCTGTTGGACCCCTTGGAGGTACAGGATGTGGATTCACAGGTAAGGCAGAAATACTCTTAGGGACAGATTCCAATCTAAGGAAGATTGTGAAAGTCAAGTTTAAAGTACCTAAAATACATCTGGTGTACACAGTTGTTAAATATAAATACAGATCACAATAATTTGGAAATTTATTTCAACTGTTACCTGCTACAAAATTTGCAAACTTATTTTACTCCTTTCCCCAATTATTTCTGGACAAGAAACTCTAAACAAGAAACTTACAGGTCAGGAGGGGATCCAGGCGCACTACTGCTCAGATGATCTATCTTGCCTGGTTTCAGGCTAGAGTCATAGCTGGCATCTGTCCCTCTTGGAATCAGCTGTGTGACAGTGTTTCCTGTTGATACAATTCCATTTGGCAAAGCTGGGGGTTTTCGGCTAGGCAAATCCACTGCACCTTCATCTGGAAGGATAGCTGCTGAAGGCAGGCCCACTTCATTAAGCTGACCCAAAGAGGCACTCAGAGGTCGTCTGGGAATTAAGCGTTTGTTCATTTTACGAAATCTATATAAATGGCAAAGACACAATACCAGAAACAAAAACAAAAAAATATTTATGACACACATGTAACACTTGACACAAATATGTTCTGCTAATTTATATATTAAAATCTACATTGTATACTGAGAAAACTGTAACACGGATGTGTCAAATGCGTTAATGGTTGGCTACCCAACTCGGACTGAGAGTGGGGTAGAGCTTCCCAATTAAACAAGTGTGGAAGGAGGAGTGGCATCTACTCCCATATAAGCTTGCCTCCGGAAACCCTATGAACTTGGAGAGGATGAAAGGCATCCATGCGTCAAGGACTCTCCTTCACAGTCGCTGTGAGTCGCCTGCGACTCGATGGCACTTAACAACAACAAACAACATACTGAGAAAAAGTTAACATTTAGAGTTATTCCAGGGGGAAAAATATATTTAAATAATCAAGAAAGGTAACTTTTACCACAACTCATTCAGAGACACTGATGTGTGTGGCCTATCTAAGATAAAAATTATTTTAGTTTAACGAAGATAGTTCAGAAAAATGGCTTAAATTTAAATATAAGTTTGTGATATGAAGAGATGTAAATTTGGGGGGAGGGGTAGGCAGGGAGAAAAGTGCAACAATGAATGAATGGAAATCCAAAGTCTCTAAACTTTCATTAAAATTAATAATAAAGAAGAAAAAAAGGATGTAAATTCTAAAATCAAAGGGAAAATAATGAAGCTGTCAGATTTCAGCATTCTTAGTTTTCAACAATGAAAAGAGATCTGTAATTTACCCTTTTGTGTGATTTACAGCTTCCAAAAATCTGCGGCTGGATCAGTCATGAATTCTAACTTGAAATTCATGACCAACTTTTAAAATTTGTAGATGTGGGGGCATCATTTTGAAATAATTCTCTTTACTTGTAAGATGAGTTAAAACAAAATAATCTTATAGAATATGCTTCTAAAACTTGATTTTGTTAAACAAAATACCCCAGTAAAATTAAGATTCAGCTCCAATTATTTTGTTAATGGGCAGCTAGTTGTTTTACCACCATGTATTTTGCCACTGGTGTGAAATGCTACCTTTATTAATTTGCTAATTACCTACATGTATCTAAGTTGGTCCTAAAATCCCCATTGTATTTTACTGACTTGCTCTTATATAAATATATACTATCTTCATATTCACTATAGCTCAAAATTCAGGTTAGTAGTTATTGTCTGGCCTGATGAAGACTTTTCTAGTTAAGAATTTAAAAAAAAATTTTTTTTACCTCACATATTTATTCTTGCACCCATTCATATTCTTATGAATTATTTTGTTGGTGCTAATAATTACATTGTGAAATTTTAATTGTGACATTACCAAAGTTATTGTTTAATTTAGGAGGAAATAAAGTCTTTATAATGTCAAGCCTTTTTATTTAAGACTAGAGTGTGTTTGTTCATTTATTCAAGTTTTCATAGTTTAATAATTGAATTCATATAGGTCTTAAGAGTTCTTTTTATTATCATTTGCTATCTGTTTTTGCTACTATGAATAGGATATTAAATTTCACATTATTTGTTGGTCTATTTTACTGGCTATTTGAGAACAATTCATTTTTAGAAAGTTGGTGTGTTTTTTTAATCATTACTTCTTCTGTTTCTGGTATTCTCTTAAGCTTTCTCAAGTAATAATTTTATGGTTCTTTTATTCTCTTCTTTACATAGATCAGCTACTATTTCCAGATAGTTAAACAGTTTTATTAGCAGAAAATTTCTATTCTTTATTTTAATAGACTGAATCTAATATTTTAAGGTGTCTCTGGATATGTTATTATTTTTTTAATAAAGTCTGATATTTCTATTATAAAAAAGATTTTCATATATAACTGGGTATTTGATTTTATTCATATGTTTTTTTTGGTATCTTTGGGTATGCTGACACAATACTTCTATAAATATTTATATTGAGTTACCTTTGTACTTGTTGTTAGGTGCCATCAGGGTGAGTAGAACTCACAGCAACCCTATGAACAAAAGATCTGACTCCTGTTCTATCCTGTGCCATCCTCACACAATTGAGAATTTGAAATATTAATATGTGAATTTGTAGATCTGTGGGTTTTTTATGCTCTGCCAAATTTGGTATCAAAAGTGCTTAAAAATCTAGTGTCACTGGAATTATCTGTTTCTGGAAGACTAAGAACCTGTGGAATTGTTAAATTAATGTCTTGAATACAACAAAGGGCAGATTTTTCTACTAGAAATGCACTAAGTTATTAAAATTAGGTAGTTAAAATGGATGACAACACTGAATTTTAATACTATCTGGCATAAAAAAGATTAACAATTGGGTTTAGTCAACCATAACATAGGGAGCTCTGGTGTCTTAGTGGTAAAGAACTGTGCCAACCCAAAAGTCTGCAGTTCGAATCCACCAGCTGCTCTATGAAAGAAAGATGGGCTATCTCTTCCCTTGTGATTTACTTTATCTGGAAAACCACTGAAGGGTTAGCTATGGGTTGGTTCCAACTCAGTGGTACTCAACCACCACCACACCACCACAAAAGGTCAGCAGTTTGAATCCATCAGTTATTCTAGGGGAAGAAAATATGTGGCATCCTGCTCTAAAGACTATAGCCTAGAGAACCCTAGTTGACAGTACAGAACAACTACCACCCTAAAATAGCTTCATAATTGTAGGCAGAATGTAAAAAAAGTAGAAACGAGTAATTTCCATTTTCTTCATTTTAAGTTACATATTACATTCCAAAAAAAATCTATTCATTGAAGACAATTATTTTTTCATTTCTATAAAAATTTATTCAATATTTTCATCTTATTCTATACTGAGTTACCAGAAGCTTCAATTTAATGATATTTATTAAAAGGGACACTTACTTTTCCAGTTCCTCCTGTGAGTGAGCAAATGTACAGCTTGCCCCACGAGGGCATCCTCCTCTCTGTTTCATATCTCGACACATGTATGTTTTATATTTGCTATGCTGTGGAGGCTAAAACCAATACCAAAACATTAGACATTTGACATTAGACATGTAGTTATGCTTCCTTATAACAAAATCTACAAATGGCCTACAAAGAAATTTCTATAACCAATTCTTCTCAATATACAGAAGAAAATACTAATGATTAAAATATCTCAAAGGTACAAATGAAATGTATTACTTACAATTAAAGGAAAACGGGAGACTTGACTGTTAATATCAAAACAAAACACTAAAGTAACATTTATTTTGTTTACTGCAAGATCTTAAAGGTATTATTATTTTGTCACATTCTTCAGATGTCAACTAGAGTTAAACTCAAAACCCACTGCCACTGATTAGAGACCAACTCAGAGAAATCCTGAAGGACAGAGTAGAACTGCCTCTAGGGTTTCCAATCTTTATCAAAGCAGACTTTCACATTTTCTCCAAGAAGTTTCTGGTAGTTCTGAATTCACTGAGTTTTGGTTTAGTAACTAAGTGCTTTTTTTAAAAAAATAATTTTAATGAGCATTTACAGAGATTTTGGATTTCCATTCATTTATTGCTGCACTTCTCTCCCCGCCCAGACCTCCCCCTCCCCACCAAGTGCTTTTAATCACTATGTCACCAGGGCTCTTTCTTGTATTCCATATATTTCAAACAACTGAGGACTATTTATATTAACAGATTTTATGGAAAAAACTTAAAATCTGAATACAGAAGTAACATCTACAGTGAAGTGAATAGTATCAAAGAGATAAGTACTTAAAAGAGATCTATTGCCAAACAGGAATGCAATATTATTAGAATAGTTTCATCTAAATGGAATAAACAGCTAGCACAGAATCTATTCAACTCATCAAATGCTGCTTTGTCTTATATGAAAAGTGATCCCAGCACATCAGGCCAATAGAGATTACTTACTTTCAATGTGGTCATATGAAGTCACTAACCTAATCCAGTAAACTGACTGTTAAACATACGACACTATGTTAGCTACTTGAGTCAGAATCCTCATGTCATCATTTTGGTGGCATTTCTATCTGTAGGTTCACCCCTCTCCCATACCTGCTGTTGATCTGCTCCTTTTTTGCTGTGATTCTGGATATAATCAACTAGTCCATGTACTACTGTCCGAACAGCCACCAGCCCATTTTCAAGCTGTTCCCAAGTAGGAGGAGGAGCATCTACAAAACAAATTAAAAATTAAAACTTGAAAATTATTATTCAAGGTTTTGCTTAAAATTGAATAAATATCAGAATACTGATCGCCTCAGCACTTCAATAAAACTTAAGCTTAATATATACAGCCTACTCCTCTAAACAGAATTTTAAGGAAACAATATATTTTTTTAAAAGCTGGAATTATAAAAGAAAACAACCAGGGGGAAAGGGAAAAGAACATAAATGAATAAAATAGGTTAACCAATAAATGACAACTGTTATCGGACCTGTAGTGTTGCGGTAGCAAAAGAGTGACTAAATATTATGTTGCCATAAGAGTTTCATGATTAGTTTGTTTTGTTTTGTTGTTTGTTTTTTTTAAAAAACAAACCACCACCACACTCAAACCACTTTCATTGGGGGTTGTTTTGATTTACATTTCTACCAGCAATGTAGGTGATCCAGTTTTCTCACACTTTTGTCAGTACTTAGTACTGGTATGCTTTATCTTGCCATTCTGATCAGTTATATATCTCTCAGGCTGATGAGGGTTGGAGATGCAAGGCTAGCACAGCAGATATTCCATTCCCCTCCCTGGGCCCACAGATGAAAAGTTTTTAATGTTAAATTCTCAAGTTTTTAAAACAGTATCTAACAACTTTAGAACACTGTGCAGTCTAATACTATGTGAACTCAGCTAAACAGTGACTGATAATTTGCAATGTCAATTTTGAAATTTTGTATAAAGCAAGTATTAGTACACAAGATGTCTAGGACAGAGATCAGGCAATAATAATGAAATAATGACTAATAATAATGTAAGAGAAATAATATTTATTGAGGAGCTGAAAAACTTAAGAACAAGAAAAGGGAACTAGGTAGGTACATGTAAATTGTACAAGTAGCCAGTGATGATATTCCTGTAAAGGTTACATTTAAAATTAAAAACCTGCTGATAAATTGCAAGGAAAATATTTTAGGTAGAGGGCAAAAATAAGAGCAAAGGCCTTGGTGTGGGAGTAAGCCTCGCATGCTCCCAGAAGGTAGAACCTCATAGTAGTGAATCAGGATGGGGAAAAAAGAGATGTCACATCAAAGATGTCACAGAAAGTCCAGATTATGAGATCTTATTCACCTGAAAGATTTTGGCTATTTACTTTTGAGTGAAAAGATTTAGCTACTATGCTCAAACCAGGCAACAGGAGGTTTTTCCATACTACATGAAGATATAAAATGGTGAAGATGATATAACAACTGATTTTAGATGGATTTTTAACGGCAAGGCTTATAAATTTGCTGATGGCTCATCTTGTATCTCCAAGCTTTTTGAACTAAACGAAAGAATGGTGTTGCCAGTAAAAAGAATGGAAGATTGGAGCTTATTTTTGGGTGTGTTAAATTTGAAATATTCATTATTAAATATTCTAGTAAAATGAATACTATGTAAATTAAAGATTGTATAAAATACAATGTACATGAATGAAACACAATGTAAATAAATTATTGTATGAAAACCAATAAAATATTAAAAAAGATTTTAGTAAAGCGGAGGAATACTAAGTAGGTTATGATAGACTATAAAATGTCATCAACTAAACATTACTTCATTATTTTATGTTCTACTTAAAAAGAAATGTGATTGCTCGTTAAATGGATATACTATCAACTGTATTTCTTTTTTAAATAAATAGTTTATTTTATACTGCTTTGCTTACAAAGTTTGTACACATTGTTTTTTACACTGGCCCATTTACCCACTCCTTCTAACCATCAAACTGTGCAACCCTATTATTACTCCCTCTCCTTTCTTACCCCTCTACTCCTCCTCTCCCCTCCCTTGGATCTTCAGACATGTTTTACTGGTTATTTCTACAATAATGATCTTATACAATAATTAATGGGACTGATATAGTTCACATAGCATAATGCCCTCCAGTCCCTCCCAAGTTAGGTAGTAATTTATAAAATTATTACTCCTGCATGATGCCTTTATCAACTGTATTTTATAACACACACCACTTTCAGAGATGCTAGAATACAGAAAAACTGTACATCTCAAAACTAAAGATGAAATATAGCCAATCTGGAACACGAGCATATAGAAGTGATAATTTAAATCCATGAAACCAGATGAGATTATTATCTTGAGAATAGGAAGAGAAGAGGTACAGGGGCAAAACCACGGCACACTTAAAAGGATAAAGAGTTATGTAAATAAGAAATTGGCAAAAGAGGTTGCTGATGAAGGTCAAATAAATAAGTAAGTAATAAGTAAAAAGGAAACTAGGAACAGGCAGATTGGAAGCTAAGTGAAAAGTATTTTAAAGAGAAGAGAATAATCAACAATCTGAATTCTGCTGACAGGTCATGTATAATGAGAACCAGGAACTGACTGAGAATTAGCAACATGGGAATCACTTGTGACTATAAAAGAAGCAGTTTTGACAAAATGGTAGGGATTAATGCCGGACTGGGATGAGTTTAATAGAGTTCTAAAAAAGGGAAAGACTTAAGTAGTTGGATAGAGAATGGCATAAAAATGGAAAGACAGCATGGAGAGTAAAACCTGTGATGGCCAGAACACAACTGGAACCCCTTGTCTTTCCTATTCTCAGTTTTCCACTTTTGACAGGAGGCAGTCTCAAAATGGCTCTCCTGGGCCATTAACCTTGACTTGCCACATGACTAGGTGGGAAAATACAAATAGTGTGTTAGTCTACACAGCAGGGGATTGGCTAGTTTTATCATTTCACAAGGTTTAAACTGAGCAGGTTCAGTAGCAGAAATTTGAGTATCTCACTACCCAGCAAAGAAGAAGTAGGAGAGCATACAGAATAAGACCTTCAGGGCCAGAGAGTCCTGTGCTAGCCAGACCTACAGGAGAGCAACAGCAGCCATAGAAGAGAATCAGAAACCTGAGGTGAGAAAGAGGAGACCTAGGGCTGCTAGGATTCTTTGCCTAAGCTTGCTCTAAGGGGGTGGGGGTGGGAGGGTGTATATGTTTGTGTATGAAAGCCATAGCTGGTTAAGACTAAGAGAACTTTTGTGATACTGGCCTAAAGCTGCAAAGCTGGAAATTTAAGAGGCCCGCAAGCACACTTCAAAAGCTATCCCAACTGAGAAACTGTATCCTGTTGCCAACCTGAGGTGCAACTTGTTTACTTCCTTAATAAATACCATAATCATGGTTCAATGAGGTCTATTGCCATGGATTCTGGACCCAGTAACATAGAAAACTGGTGTTAAAACAAGTAGAAATAGGTGAAGAGCATAATGGACAGGTATTACCTTGTAAGTTTTGTGCTGTAGATACTGTTAATGGAGGCAGATTCTCCTTGTGGAGTTAGCAAAGCTCAGGTATGGCCGTCTCCGTGCCGCCTTTACTCTTTTTATACAACCTTACTATTTTTCTATCATTCATTTAAATGGACAATATTTGAGTTTTCCTTCCTTGACATGTGACAGATATGTTTCCATCTTATGTGGGTTCCAGATTTCACAAGTTTATTTGTATGCTGACAGAAATATTCTATTAGAAAAGGAAAACTGATGATTTAAGAAAGAATACTAAAGGAAAATGTTATCTAGCACATGAGAAAAGGGTGACTACAGTGCATTTTGCAGTTTATTCACCATTATGAGAGGAGAGCAGAATATACCGGCACAGACACAAGTAGATAGGTTTACTGAGGAGTAAGCATGAGGAAGTTGTTTCCAGTGCTAAGAATAACCAAAGCACAAAAGAAAGGAAAAACAAATACCACTATATGTCGTAGGGCAGATTTTGACCTGGTTTAATTAAGCAATTTCAGGAGATAAATCTATAAAAACAGGCTGATAAAATCAGAGTGCTCTGAATGCCACAGCCAAAAGTTCTATAAGCAGTGGAACATTATTCTAAGTTTAAGAATTCAGAAATAAGATCAGAGATGTGACTTATTTTACATCAATAAGAAGAGTGGATTGGAAGAATTCAAAGATCAGAGGAAGCTAAATGACATTTCATCTCAGAGAAAAAGAATAAGGCCCTCACTCAGGCAGTACTAGTAGATATGGAATAACAGAAGCATTAAAAGAAGAGTTAGGGCGACGGAGCACGCGGGCGATGCAGCGCGAAGGCGAGGCCACCAGACCGGGGAGCACGGCCGCCGGACGGGGGAGCACCGCGAGAGGGACCCGGAAGAGACCCGGGAAGAATGGCAGCCAGCCACCGACGGGGGAACGCCACCGCCGGACGGGGGAACGCCACGAGAGGGACCCGGAAGAGACCCGGGAAGAACGGCAGCCAGCCACCTACTGCGGAGCTCCAGAGGAGTGAAGACTACCAGACACTGTGGGACCCCCCTGCAACCCACACCTGTGTGACCCTTAACACACAGGGTGCTGCTACATAAACCCCCAGCAGCGCCCAAGCCCCGTCCCCACCTCTTGGTGATAGTGTCCAACTCCTGCGCTCCTTGCCCCCTAGTCCCTTGCTTTCCTCCCCTTCCCCCACCCCGCTTGCAGCTCCACAACCACACATCTCAACCCCCACCACAGCTCTGTGACCTCAGGGCACCACCTTGGATCCAGACATCACCCAGAGCTATCAGGCGAGCTGTTGAGGAACTAACCTGGCAGGAGAAAGGCCGGTAGGATCTTATCTGTGTTTACTGGGGCACTGCTGATTACCCAGGAGAGCACCTAAGGGCGCGCCCACAGGTGGGGAATTTGGCCGAGCTCTCTT